AGGGACTTGGAGAACCTTTATGTCTAGCTAAGAGATTATAAATACACCAATCAGTACTCTGTATCTAGCTAACCTAGTGGGGACTTGGCGAACTTTCTGTCTAGCACTCTGTGTCTAGCTAAAGGATTGTAAATGCACCAATCCGCACTCTGTAAAAGTGCACCAATCAGCACTCTGTGTCTAGCTAAAGGATTGTAAATGCACCAATCAGCTCTCTGTAAAATGGACCAATCAGCAGGATGTGAGTGGTGTCAGATAAGGGAATAAAAGCAGGCTGCGGGAACCAGCAGTGCCAACCCACTCGGGTCCACTTCCACGCTGTGGAAGCTTTGTTCCTTTGCTCTTTACAATAAATCTTGCTGCTGCTCACTCTGGGTCCACGCTGCCTTTATGAGCAGTAACACTCACTGCCAAGGTCAGCAACTTCACTCCTGAAGCCAGTGAGACCACAAACCCACCAGAAGGAAGAAACTGCGAACACATCTGAACATCTGAAGGAACAAACTCCGGACACACCATCTTTAAGAACTGTAACACTCAGAGGGTCCGCGGCTTCATTCTTGAAGTCAGCGAGACCTACAACCCACCAATACCAGACACACAAGCACCTGGGCTATTCCTCCGTGTAGTGAAAAGTGGGGCAGAAGCTCTTCATTTGGTCATTTTGCTGCTGCAGAAGTCCTCGCCCTGTTCTCTTTTAAGTCTCTCTTTTTTCTCAGGTCTGATCACACAATTTGATTGGGGTGAGGGAGGGGAGGAGAGGAAAAGGAAGTAGGAGATCAAGGAGGCAGATGAAGTTTCCTCTCCTCTTTGAATTTTGAGATGGCGGATCAAACTGCCACCTCCACCTGCCTCTCTTGCTCGGCTTCATCTTACTCTCCAATTAATAATGGTTCTGCTGGGCCCGGTGGCTCACGCCTATAATCCCAGCGCTTCAGGACACCAAGGCGGGAGGATCGCTTGGGGCCAGGAGTTTGAGACCAGTGTGGGCAACATAGTGAGACCTCATCTCTACAAAAATTTAAAAAAGAAAACAGCGGCTGGGCGCAGTGGCTCATGCCTGTAATCCCAGCTCTTTGGGAGGCTGAGGCAGGTGGATCACAAGGTCAGGAGATTGAGACCATCCTGGCCAACATGGTGAAACCCCGTCTCTACTAAAAATACAAAAATTAGCTGGGTGTGGTGGCATGTACCTATAGTTCCAGCTACTCAGGAAGCTGAGGCAGGAGAATCGCTTGAGCCTGGGAGGCAG